TGAGGGATCGACGTAGTAGTCGGCCTGGGCCGTGGCGACAAAGGCCGCGGCAACGGCGAAGGCGGTGCTCTTGAACGAAGGCATTGTGATTTGCGGGGATGTGTATATGCAGAACCGGTGTCGAGAAAGATCCGTTTGGTATATGTACGGACAAAGTTGTTTTTTTGTCGTTGAAGAGGAAAAAAGCTTCCCAAGAAAAGATTCGACAAGATTCAAATATTAATATCGACTGCAGTGCGTTTCCTGGTCAGCAACCCGTCTTGTGTATGTTTACGGACAGCCTTTTCTGTCCGTTCAGTCTTTTTGCTGCATTCCTAAACTCTCCCCAAGCCAGCCCAAGGCTACGAGGGGGGGCAACTTATCCAACGCCTGTTCGGGCCAACAACACATGGCTTTTTGGCCCAGTTTAGGTTGATTGGGTCGGGCGGGCGGGCACAAGGGGGGCGAGTTATGAACGAGGCGTTGAGGAATGGACGGTTTTGACTTACGCACTAATAATAAAATGGAGCCCTTTCGTTGCTAACGAAAGTGGACTTGATTTGACTGAGAAGGTACTAGTAGCGATAGTGAGGCTGGAAAATCGGTTTTGTTTGGTGCCTTGTGTATAATGTAGGCAGTGATGATGCTGGAGCGACTGAGTTGTGAAGAGTTCGGGGGGGGGGGGGGGGGGGGGATGATGAGAGGTTCGGGTGAGAATATATGTGCAAAAACGATATTCAACTGTGTAACGACAGACCGAGACAAGACGATACAGACACGCGCGGAGGGATTCAGGAGGGAGGTGGGAGGTGGAAAAGGCAGAGAGGAGATGAGAGGAGAAACGGAATGGAAGTCGTCAGAGAAGTTGACGGTTCATATTCAACCCCCCCCCGGGAGCACAGAGCCGTGGGGAGGAAGGCGAGAAGGAGCAGACGAGCCGGACGCACGACTTTTGCCAAGCGGACACTAAGGTTGACTAGCACACATTCGAGGTGGTAGCATGCTCATTCGGACCAGGGCCTTGTCGGGAAGCTTCTACCAAGTATTCGCAAATCCACATCAAAGTATCCGCGGTATCCTATACGGCACAAAATAAAGGAGACCCGGGGGTCCCAGGTATATACAACGCCATGGGGCTGGCTCTCTTGCGATAATCCACAGGCAGGCATTTGCATGGGAGTCTATAGAGAGGAGCCGGTAGACTGTCGAAGAGGACCGAGGAGAGAAACGGGCGGAATTGGGTTTAGCACGTTCTCCACGCCAGCCACCCGGCGTATTTCCTGCTGGTGGTTGTGGTCGTGATGGTGTGGTGGTCCTGCCGTTTCTCGAGAAAAGGTCCCAGGGTCGAGAAAAGGAGCTAAGAATTTGCCAGGGTTCGTTTGGGGTCTGTTCATCGGCATCCCCCCCTGGTGCCCAATCACAGGATGAACTCTTCCCCTGCTCTTGGGGATCGGATGGAGAATCATTGGCTTTTTGTTTTTTCTCACTTTTCAATATCCTCTTCCCAATATGCCCAAGTACTGTGTAGTGTACTCTGTACGGATACTCGCGATCGCTGCGCTGAGCCCGGCGTTCCTCTCCACAGTCCACCATTTCTAGAACGAAGAGTCACCACTTTTGTCTGACCGAAAATCACGGGTTGCTGATGGGCAGATATTGATAACGTGAGGGGAACCCAGCCTGAGCCGTGGGCCGCAGCCCGTCTGGCATGTCTGTCTCTTGCCGCCCTTGCCATTGACCCGCTTGAATGGTAGGGAGGCATGGTTGTTGTGGTTGGCTCTGGAGCCCTAGGGTGTCTTTTCCTCAGAACCAGGCAAGTCAGGAGCTCTCTGTGTAGACTGTCGATATCGTTCACAGCAGGATTGACGGGCGGGTTGGTGTGTGAACGCTTCTTCGAGGGTGACTCTGGTGGCGGCTCTCTCCCGTGGTCTGTCTTGGTCTTGTGTTTCTATTCGGTGGATATTGAGGCTTAGCAGAGGAAGGGTTCAGTGGGAGCATGCCGCTCTCTGCAGGGATCCATGGATTCATTCCATGGCCCGGGGCAATTGGCTTTTTGCGTCGGCGCCGCTGCAACACTGCAGTCTGTACTGTCTGCACTTGCAGCACCGATGGCACTAAAATGATTGTTAGTCTCTCTTTACCTATGCCGCTAACGAGATCGGGTGTCCATTGTTGCCCGGAGATGAATCTCCTCTCCACAAACTGCAACTTCGTACCGCGAGAGCCCACTGAAAACCCGTCCAGGGCCCATCTCCCATCGTTACAACTTACCGCAAGAAACGAGCGGTCTGATTATTCCATCCTATGCTCTGTATCCGTAGTGTATCCGTAGATGTCAGTACTAGAAGTGAGCAGGGAATGGTCAACAAGCGACAAGCCTTTGCAGCCTTGCCGAGGTTGTGGTGACGACTTCTCTCGACTTTTGGCTCGTTAATTTGCAGCCCCGGACCCGTTTGAGATTGGAAGGCCCGGCCTGTCCGTCCATCGCCATTCGCCATATCTTTACTGATCCCACGGCAATCCTCCTCTGAGGCTTGCCTGGCTCAATTCCAGCCCCGACCTCTGCTGGTATTGTGCAGGTTGCCCATGTTTAGGCATTGCATCCAGTCAGCGGCGTCAGCTAGACATTCCTGTGCTCCTTCGTATCCCCACGATTTGCTAGACACACTGACGACAACAACTTCGTGTCCATTCAACCTGTCAGCTATTCCTTCAAAGTTGTGGCGCCTATTCGTAGGTACGGAGCAGTCGAGAGTCGAGACCGTATTACTCCATATCTGAAAGCAAACCAGTCGGATTCCCACTTGGGTACGACTTTGCAGGTCGGATGACCAGACCCATTGTTGATTACGAGGTTGCAGAAGACTGGAACTGTCTCGATGCTCTCCATAAAATGCGGCGTGAAAGTTATGGAGCCAAGACCACCTTATTGTGCAGTAAACTTCGCCGCCAAACAGGGCCAACCCCTCTTAACTCTCCCCTTGGCTCCTTGCTAGCACAACTTTACGAGACCACCATCTGCAACATGCACTTTCTCCGAGGCGAGACAGGACTCTCGCCCTGCCGGGAAGCGTCTGGGTGAGTCTGTGGGTTTCTCCCAGCCGCCGGCATTTTTTTCTTTCGTGAGGGTCTCGACACCACTTGGTGAGTTCCATGATGTGTACGAAGCACAGCTATCGCTGTTCCCGGCGTCCCACTGGCTGATCGCCACTCGTATTCTGCAGTGTGGTCCCCAACCAAGGCCGTTGTGCAGGAGAGCCGATGCAGCTAGTATGATTGTGCAGTCCAGAGCAGCTTGGTGGTTTAAAAGTTAATACCTATCTGTCCACGGCACAGTGCAATCGGAATGGCTGGCGCTGAGTCGCTGACTTGAGATAGCGGAGGTTCAACTTGAATATCGAGGTGGTTGGCTCCGCCCGGATCTTGTCTGTTGCCTCCGAGACCCCTTCTTCCGGGGCGACGATCCCAAGCGCCCCAACGTCTCCGCATTGATGCGTTTCTCTATTATTTGTAGACAAGTTGTGGCAGAGCGCTGAGACCGCACCGTTGACGGCAAACATGCCCTTCGTGCCCTCAAAGTGCCATTGGGCTGCCAAGGCTTGATGTCAAGAATGGGCAACTGACCGCCACAACTGAACCTGTCAACTTGGCAGGGCGTTGGCGATTGCAAGCCTTTCTGAATGTTGTACGATGAGATGGGGTTTCGAAGCCAGAGGTTTGAGGTCTGATCGTCTCGTCGTTGCAGTGTAATTTGCAAGTACCGAGAAGTCTGCCAGCCGACGCACCGGGGTAGACGGCGTAGAATCGAAATGGAAGCCGAAGCCCAGAACCCCCTGCTCAGCGAGATGCGCTAGGTGAAAAGGTGTCAACTGGAACCCTCCAACTCCACCGCGGCTTGGGTTCTGCCGCTTCGTATCCGCACCAATGTGTTGGGATTTGGGAGTCTAATGTGCGTATCCGTACGGAGTAGTGTACGTGTCGATAGTATCGCGGGAAGGGTCTATTATTGTCGCACCGGGCGGGATTGTGGCCCATGTCTTCTATGCCCCATGTTGTGTACAGGGAGATCTCTTCCTAAGCGCAGTAACCGGTCCTTTTTCTAGTGTAGTAACTTGTAAGACGTCAGTATCACCTTGCTGAGAGCCTGGGACCCTTAACCGACCATCCCAAAAGTCCGTGAGCGAGCCAATCATAGATGCGTGTGTGGGACGAACGCAAAGAAGCAAAAGATGTTGTTTCCCACGATGGGGAACGTTTGGGGCGGAGAAGCTTGTCAGAAGGTGAAATAATGGTGTTCTGAGTTGCAGCAGTTTCCCGCGTATTGGACAGTCGTCTCATAAGGTAAGGTAGGTACCTAAAGTGGGCGAAGTCGAAAGAAGTGTTCGTATATAAGAAAGAGTGGTCCACTTTCATCTGGTGGCGCTTGACAACGTTTATTCGCATATGAGCCGTATCTGAACCTTCCTCACGTATTCGCAGGGATTTGTTTCTAGGGAAAGGGAGCTCCCGTTGTTATGGCCTAAGCAGAAGTCTCGAATGGGAAGGGTCCTTCCTTTCTTGAACGAACCATCAGATGTGAGGGGAAGAACAAGCGCAGGAAGGTACGGATGCTGGTGGGAGCTTTTCTTATCGTCATGCTTTATCCGCCTGGATCTCACCCAGGACGCTGCCAGGTAGGTAATTATTTTGTAAACAATAATTCAGACTCGCCTGAATGGCACTGTCAACTCTAGAGCGAGCCGCTTCCCTTCGTCAACGAATCCGCGCGAGCTGGCGCATTGTTTGCTCCCCATTGTGATTGATAGGTAGTCTTCTATGCCAACCTCACGACTTAGGTACTCCGTACCATTCAGACCCATTACATCTCACGGGCCGACTAATTGCCGCCCGAAGGTAACATCGCCAACAGCCTACCTTTACCATTCCATCGTCTGCCCGCCAGAGCCAAGCGGCCGCCATTCCACTCCTTGGTCGATTTGCACAGCCACGCGGCACCACCCTAACAGACCGGCGTCCAGCAAGCGCCCCGAGACAGGTCTTTGATCTAGCGACCTAAGACTTTTGATATCGTCATACGGTCAATACGTCACAATCACCCTGCACCTTCGCTGGTCTTGAGCGTATCGCATCGTCAATACAACATCACAGCTGTCCATGAGGTAGCGTCCTCGCACATGGATTCATGGACTCGGCGATAGAATCCCAGTTCCGACCGAACGGCGGCCTCAACGGCGGCACAAACGGCCATGTTAAACCTTTGCACAAGGTCGCCACGGACGGGACCATTCGAGGGTTATTGTCGCGCCAGAACAACAATGACACACGAGGCGGATTGTTTGGAGACGAGGAGGATGAAGAGGAAGAGACAGAGTCGCCAACCGATTCGTCCGTGACAAGCCCGTCGTCAGTGACGTCGCCTCCGTACTGGCTCGGCCACCACCAGCGCTCTGTTTCCAATATGTCGGTCGAATCAATACTGCCTGCCGGCGCGATTACAATGCACGATAACGAAGCGAGCGATATCAATGGTCGAAACCGAGCCTGCTGGGCAAAGAGCGTCGAGATCACCGATTACGTCGTGGTGAACGGCAGCGCTACCAATATTGGGGCGTTTGTTGTATGGAACATAAGGGTCGAGACATTGCAAGTCAGTCATACTCCTGTCCCAAGAACAAAGGCACAATCCGAGGTTGCGACCGCAGCTGCTGACAAGACGTGCGCAGGGGAGCTACATGAACATCCGCAAGCGATACTCCGAGTTTGACGACCTTCGCGAAAAGTTGGTCAAGACGTTTCCCAATTTCGAAGCAGCAGTACCACCTCTACCACCAAAGAGTGTGATATCCAAATTTCGGCCCCGTTTCCTCGATAAGAGGAGGGCGGGGCTACAATATTTCCTCAAGTGCGTCTGCGATTGTATGCCGTAGATACCTTTCGGGTGGTTGCTAACAATTGGCAGTTGTATAATGTTGAATCCCGAGTTTTCTGGGTCGCCAGTGCTCAAGGAGTTTCTCTTCTCGTAATGATAGTGTCTGAATACCAAAATTAACTTACTTCACCTTCTTGTACATCTTTTTGGGGATACATCGGCTGAGCTGGACGCCGCTGGGTATGTTGGGCTGCTTTCTCCCACAGGCGTCGAAAAGGCAAAAGAATGATGGCCATCTGCACGTACATAGGGTCGGACCCTGCAAAATTCAATAATGATAATGTTTTGCACGAAGAGTCAGATTTTTGGGATGGCGGTAGTCGAGATATCTACTCATTCAAGAGACCATGGTGGGTTGCGTCACAGCGGTGGTGATGGATTCATCAGATCGGTGGCCGCCAAGCCCGTTGTCGGAAAAGTCTCGGCGGCCGCGGCCGCGTGGGGTACAATGGAGAAGCAAGAAAAGGGCAGGAAGTAAAAGGTGCGCCGCCGGACGTGGTCCGTGGCGATGTGCTGTTCCCGCAGGCGTCAGTCGGGCCACGCTGGTTGGGCTTTGGAGGGGGCTCCCCCACAGATTGACGCGTAATGTTCAGCAGGACGTACAGGGCTGGGAAGCGTCAGTGGCAGTTGAGAACGTGAGAATGGCCCAGGGTCTTTTGGGGTCCAAAGATCTTTCCTTTCGAGTTGAACAGATTCAAGACCGCAAGAAAGCCTAACTCAGCCCCATTTCTCTACGTAAAAACAGCGGTGGAGCAGGGTTAAGCCTCTGTTCAGCTAGAAGGACTTTAGGTAGATTTGCTATTTGCGGATGGTCGTTACGATGAAGGCTCGTTAGAGGTCAATCCAGACGTTGGTGTCATGCTGCTGGTGCTCACCACCTATTCGGGAGATTCTGCGGACTGCGAAGGGCACCGGTGATACCCGCATAGACAGACGGCTGCGTGCCGACGGGCCCCATCCGCGATTCCGAGCAGACCAGTCCATCGTGCGTCACAGCCCGCAGTGTGGTATACACACCAGCGGTATGTCGGCTGAGCAAACCTGATCACTGAGTTTTCTGCTTCTCTGCTGTCCAGAAACAGTTGGCAACTTGGCAGTGCCGTCGCCCCAAGCCTTACTCTTCCCCCCACTGGCAAGGGTGTCCCCCGTGGTACCTCAAGATGCAAGGCGGGCAAGTGTTTGTTTTTGTGTAGTGGTTTTTTTCCTTTCTTTACAGCAGAGCAGACTCTGCTCACTGTTTTGTCATAAGGTGTCGCCGAGATCTATCCCATGCCACGGGAAAGGATCTGAGAGCGCCCCACGAATGCAATATATTATTGATCGGTCACTCCTCCTGGGCGCATTCTTGACACTGCTTTCTGCTCTCCCTCCTCCTCCTTCTCTTCCAATTTTAGACCACACAGTTTCCCGTTCTACCTTACCTTACTCGGGTACTTTGACATCCATATCCTGACAGCCGTACGGATAGTAATCATTATATGCTTACTTCAACCCCATCCCCCTTCCATCTGATGGCTCCTGTGCTTTATTACAGGCTCAAGCTGCTCATTCCATCTCACCACCAACCTTCCGGGTGACTACCTCAAACAGCTTACAAGGAAAGTGACGTCGCCTTCGCAGTCTCCGAAAAAGAAAAAAAAAAGGCCAACCAAGACAAGCTCCAAACCCAACCAGCAGCAAGAAAGTCATAGTTCGAAACGAAACACGCAACTCACCTAATCCACACACACGCGCGCACACATACTTGCAGCACACACATAAACCGACACATAGAAATAGGCCTGATGCCTGCGCCAACCGGCTCTCGGATCAGATCCCTATCCCTACTATTTCGTCACAACCGGGCGGACCCCGCCATTCCACCAACCGACATGACGAAACCCGCCCACAAGCTTGACTCTATACCGGTTCCAGCCCAGCAACCTGCTTCTGGTGGCGGTGCCCTGTCTCCGAGCGACGCTTCTGCCTCCTCTGCGCCTACGTCTGGACCACCACAAAAGACCCCTCCTCTTCACCAACATGATCCTAACGGTGTCGCCGCCGCCGTTATTACCCCGCCGGCCAGTCCCCCCGTGCCAAGACCTGTCGACGAACGAGACGAATCCCACTCCATCTTTTCCCCTGCTGCTACTGCGACCACTACCACCACCAACACCACCGCCACCACTCACACGGCTGAATCTGCAACGGCCCCTCCCAGTGACGACACATGCTCATTGGCGCAGTCGCAGACGAGCACAAACTACAGTTCTCGCCAGGAGTACATGGACAGTTTGGTCCCGCCATCCCAAGACCAATTTGAAAAGATTGCAGAGGTACAGCGCAATCGGGAGGAGGAGCTAAAGAGGAATAAGTCGAAGCGGCAGACCCAACACCTCCACGACCACTTTCACAACGTCCGACGCTCACAGGACGGACAAGGTGACGCTGCTGGGGACGTATTCGACGAAGCGCAAATAATGTCGCAAGATCCACCGCCAGCTTCAACGACAGAGGGTGAACAGGGCGACAGCGAGGCGATCAATCGGGCCGCGGCGCTGATCCAGCGCAACTACCGGGGGTATCGCGTGCGGAGAGAGATGCAAGGCATGGGGCTGAACGCATCGACGAGATGGGTCTCGGCCATTGACGAGCTGCAGTTCCGCGAGCTGAACCGGCCGCGCGCAAAGAGCTCCGTTAGTGCTGCCGGATTGTCTCCCACCGGCGACAGGCACAGCGTACTTTCGAGAGACGAGGAGGGCGACATGAGTCGTCCGTCGACGGCCCGTGAGAATTGGAGGAAGGCGGCGACGATTGCGCGGCGCGCCGGGCACGATGACGTCGAGTCCGACTCGGACTCATCCGGGTCCTCGTCGGATTCGGAGGACACGCCCGAGAAGAAAGCCGAGAGGAAGAAGAAGCGCGAGGAGGCTGTGGCGAGGCGGAAGAAGGATTCCAAGATGATGGGGTTGCAGTATTTCCTGGAGATGGTCGACCTCAAGCATCGCTACGGGAGTAACTTGCGTACGTACCACGAGGAGTGGAAAAAGTCGGACACGACGGAGAACTTTTTCTACTGGCTCGACTACGGCGGCGGCAAGAATGTCGAGATGGAGGCGTGTCCCCGCGACCGCCTCGAGAGGGAGCAGGTGCGGTATCTGTCCCGCGAGGAGAGGCAATTCTACCTCGTGCAAGTTGACGACGAGGGACGGCTGTGCTGGGCCAAGAATGGCGCACGCATCGACACCACTGAGGCCTTCAAGGACAGCATCCACGGCATCGTGCCCGCAGACGATCCGACGCCGGCCTGGTCGCAGAGCAACATCCCACAAACATCACCCGGAGCTGAAGCCGCCGACGATAGCCGCTCCGAATCCTCGGTGGAGTCAGCATTGGAGGCAGATCGCGCGGCAAAGTACGCCACGCCCGAGGTCGACGGCGAAACGGGCATGAAGAAGGTATCGCACATCTCAGCAGCGACAATCTTCAACAAGATGCTGCGCAAGTCGGTCAAGAAGAACACGTGGATCTTTGTCGCGGACACGAGTTTCCGCCTGTACGTGGGCATCAAATCGTCGGGTGCGTTCCAGCACTCGAGCTTTCTGCAGGGCAGCCGCATCTCCTCGGCGGGTCTCATCAAGATCAAGGACGGGCGGCTGTCGAGCCTGTCGCCGCTCAGCGGGCACTACCGCCCGCCGGCGTCCAACTTTCGCGCGTTCGTCAAGAACCTCAAGGAGGCGAGTGTTGACACGTCGCACGTGTCGATATCCAAGTCGTACGCCGTGCTCGTCGGGCTCGAGGTCTACCTCAAGTCGCGGCAAAAGGGCAAGAAGGCGATCGAGAAGATGACGCATAAGAAGGAGAAGATTATGGAGCCGGAAGAGTTTCGGAAGCGCGAGGAGGAGGCCAAGGATAAGAGCGAGAGCGCGGCCAGGGAGCGAGAAGTGCTTGAGAAGGAGGCTGAGGAGCGGGAGGAGAACAAGGCTGCGGTCAAGTTGCTGCGGAAGCTGAACCTGGCGCCGCAGGTGCCAGCGGGCCAGAGGAGTGGTGAGGGCGAGGCGGAGGGGAGGGAGGAGCCTGTGATGGAGACGTTGGCGGAGGAGAGGACGAGGGAGGAGACGGCTGCCACTTCTTCGAATACTGCTTCTACTGCTCGACCTGCTGCTGCTACTTCATCTGCAGGGGCCTAGGTCGCCTCAAGTTGTTTTTGGATCCGGCATGGTGGGTAATAGACGGTGGGCTTTGGACCCCTGAAGGTGATGGGCCGATTGGATCCTGGGTTGGATTGGGTTGTGGTTTTTTTGCTTCAAGAGTTCTTTATACCCCCCCTTGCACGGCCTTGCTTTGGAAAACAGTACTCTAAGCGTATAGAACGAGAGGTAGATGACAAAATCTAATGAGTACCCGATGGTTGATGATGTACGCCTTCTGCGTACTACTTGCCCAATAGTCTTCTATACTTCACGTCTTGAGCTCAGTAGTCGTAAGCACAGGTTGTAAGTCCCTTTGCTCCAACCTTTCTATCGGGAATAATTTAACTACCTGATATCTCATATAAGTATGCATATAAACAGCGCCCATCACAAGACAAAACTTCTTCAATCCAATGTGTTTCAGGCTCGATTCCCCATTCCAGGAATAAAGATCTCATTCCTCGTACACAGACAGCCAACCGGCCGGTTGCCAGTCTAGTTCGCCGTCCATGGTAGTGTATGCAAGACAAAAAACATCGCTCGAGTCTTCTGAGACTAATAAAGAAGGCAAGCCTATGGCATCGAGTTCAATAACGAGATACTCGACTGATACGTGTGGTTCGCTACCTAACTAGACAGCCGGATAGAGTCAACTGCCCTCGTCATCTCCGACGATTTCGTCGTCAAACTGGTCATCCACAACTCCTGGTACTGTCCTATGCGAATTACCTTCGTTCCCAGATCTCTGCGGTTCTCCCTGGGACGACTCTGAGGTTGAATCATCGATGTCTTTATCCCATTCAAAGCCTTCTTCGACAAAATCATGCCGAGGATGAATCAATGACCTAGACATGTAACATTTAAAGCACAAGAGAAAATATGTCAAACAAGTGAAAGAGACGCCCCAGATATTAACGAGGCAAAAGTCGCAGAACCACTTGTCAGACTGTCCTCCCACCTTCACCAGGGTTGGACGCCTTTTACCCGCTGAGTTTAGTGGCATTAATAATTCGACGATACTTTGTTTTCAAGAAAGTCAGTGATAAGCTCACAGGAAAGGGCGATGAAGTATGACTCTCGGCCCTATAACGCGGACATGCAGATCCAAAACAGATCAAGAGCACGCTGGATGGGGTTTACGTACCTATGAGCCTGGTGGTAGTGGGCAATGTCCAGAGCGTTCCAGGGTTTGTCTGGTCCCCGACCATATGTATCCGTATTAGCTCCCATGTCAAGTAGGAGGGAGACCACTTCGTCATGCTTAACTGGCCGGTCTTCCCATTTCCAAACGGCTGAGGCCCGTGCCACCCATAAGAGCGGCGTCCAACCGTCCGAGTCTTGCACATCAATGCCGATGCCTGCTTGTTTGGAACGCTCCAAAACCGCTTTCACTAGATCGGCCTGTCCGCTTAGTACAGCGTAGTGCAAAGGTACTCGGCCGACTTTGTCCACGCGTGCAAATTCCAAGTCAGAGATTTGCATGTTACGGCCTAAACGATTGGTCCCGTCATGGCGTAGCTATATATGCAGAACAAGGGACAATGATGACCGGAGTCATCATTATCGAAGCTTTTGCTTTGTGCCACAGTTGGTTGCCTTGACCTGCTCGTAACATTGCAGTAGATCCAGAATCTTGCAAGAATTGTAACAAGCTAGGTGTGCAGGTGTTCTATTGAACTCGTCTTTGATGTTGAGAGGGACATTGCGGTCGAGAATATGCTTGACTATTTTGGAAGAACCGGCCAAGCAAGCGGAGATAATGGGATACGAGAACAAACCGGCGCGAAGTTCAGGGTCGGCCCCTTTATCCAAGAGGTAGCAGATCACCGTTTCGGCCTTGTCGAGGTCCTCTTGGTAAAATCGAAGTGTGGCCGATATCAGTGGCGTGCCCAGAACCACCCCTTCGCTGGTCATGTTGATATCGGCGCCTTTTTCTAGAAGCATTTGAACCATCGGTAGCAACGAGCTCCTGCAGGCTGTGTGTATGGGGTTGAGAGCGTCCCCAGATAAAGGTTTTGCCAGGCTTGCGAGTATTGCATCTTTCGACAACAAGTACTGCAGAACCTCTTCTTTGCACAAAGCCTGGATAGCTAGACTCAACGAAGGTGACTGGAATTTGTTCACTGCAGTCAAGCTCGCGCCAGCATTCACTGCAAGGCGTGTGGACTCTACCGGCGCGAATTTGTTAACATGGTGCAGTATACTGTTTCCTTTGGAGTCTGTTTTCGTGAGGTCTGGGTTATGCTCAAGGATGACCCGACGCATGGCTGGGCTCTCGAGCCACATCGCGCTGAAGATCCGTGGGGTACCATTATCATCGACAAGGTTGACGTCTGCTCCGGCCTCCAGAAGTTCGGCCACTATTTCGACGTGATCATTATCAACGGCATATGTAAGTGCATTTTGGACTTTTTCTGTCGAAAAGTCGGCAGTGTTCTTGGGATTGGCCAGCATAAGCTTCACTGTCTCCTTGTGGTTGCCCACCACTGCGCGTGATAAGGGGGTCTGCCCGTCAGCCGCTTCTTGATTGATACTTGCTCCGTGGTCGACCAAGATCTTGACAATCTGAGGGAACTCTACCGCCTGATGGAGTGGTGTAGATTCTTCCGCGGTGCAAGGCTGGGTGATATCAGCGTGCGCTTCGATGAGCATCCGCACAATCTCTGTGTTGGTGATATGGTGCGTCAAATGCTCGGAATTGCTGTTGTCTGGGCATCCTGGCCTCGATGTTGAAACTCGACCTTAGCCGTGAGCAGAGGGTCTCGTAGTCGGTTGGCGGTGCGTGTAAAGCCATCCTTGCCTCGGGGACTCGCTGGACCGCTGTACAGAGATATCCGACTTTTCTCTCGTTGGTTCCCTCCGTTGGCTGGGTTTTGGCCAACTTGTCGATCTTGTCGATGAGCTCCTCGAGAATCTCAACGCGTGGCTTGCCCTCCATTCCGCGAGCGACAGATCCATATGAAAGTGCTCTTAGCTCGGCAAGGAGCTCGAGGCTCCTATCGTGTGTCTCGAAGCGGCTTCGGATTGCGTCAACAATGCTGAGGAAGTCTGATTTGTCGAGTGTACGCACCGCAAGGTAGTAGTATTCCTCCGCCTTGCCCGTGAGTACAATCGTGATGGCTGAGTGATATTGGTGTTCCTTGATTCCTGCCTTCTCGCAGTAGTCGTAGAACATGGTCAGGGTCTCTTGTAGGACCTCGTACTTCCCCCCTGCATACTTCTTCTCTTTTGGGAATATCTTCGTGAGGTCCGTTAATTGCCTCGGGCTTGCGAGGGTCTGGTCTTGCTCCTCGCTTAATTCGCGTGATGTCGAGTTAAATCGTTGGCTATATGTAGTTGAACGCAGTTCTATTCGTACATCGCCGCTTTGGCTCATGAATTGTGATCTCGACGGCAAGCTCGGGCTCGTAATTGCAATTGGAGGAAACGGCGTCTGACGGACCGCCGGTTGGGCTATGCTTGAAGCAATCCTTCCTTCTGTGATTTTGAGGAGGAATTCCGGTTTCTTTACTCGCTGGTTGAACTCCTCGTAGCGGCAGACTGCTCGGTCCACCTGCTGTTGGTTCCACGGCACGAATTCTGACGCTGCCACTGTTGCTGCGAGAGTCTCGTGCGGTGCCCGATTTGGCGTTTGATCTGGCAGCACGCCTCGACAATGGAGGAAGCTAATGACTTCCTTGATGATTTTTGATCTGGCGTTTGCGAACCACTCGTCTGGCCAATCGCCGATATCATCGGTAATTTGGTAGAACAGGGGTTGCCCCTCGAGTCCTTGCTTGGCGTAGATTTCCATCAAGAAAACGAGGGCGGCGTCGACCTGCTCGCTGTTCGGTGTATCTGACGGGTTAAAAGCCCAATTTCCCCAGTATGAATTGTTAATGCCTATCCACTTGAGAGGTATGGGTACCCTAGTCATCGCCATTCTGGTTGACTCGCTTATAATCGTACCCTGGCTATTGCTCGTACTTAAGGCAGCCGGCGTGTTTGACCTCGGTGGGCTCAAGCTCGAGCCACTCATTGGTTGTGGCATCAGGAGACTGTCGTCGCTGGCTTGGGTTGACGGGGTCTGGCTCGATCCCGCCCCTTCTTGTTGACGGGCGCCAGATCTCGTCGTTACTCCTGTCCTTGCCGATGTGGGCTCCTCGGGCTCAGCCGCCATCTTGATCTTCTTCCTTGGCCGCGTGGTGCCCTTTTGTGCTTTGGTCGAAGGGCTCGTACTTCACGCGTTGGAAGGTATAGTCGTTGGATTGTCGCGCGGGCTGGCCGCGGTTGGTGTACTTGACAGACTCAAATTCGCGGTCTTGCCGCGAGGAAGTCGGTATAAGCAGAGGGTCCTTCGTCGGTCGTCGGGCGCTCGAGGCGTCTGGCCGGTCGACCGTCGAAGGCGTTGCTGACGTGATGGACGCCTACCTCTCGTGAGGTAAAGTTAGCACGATTCCTCTATCCCGTCCGGTATTAGAGGGTCGTCTCTTCTGTTTTGCGAGATGCCTTGCTGATCGGCGATAGTGGAATTTAACCACTGATCAGTGTTGGTATTTCTTTCACAGGTAAGTTGGTTCGAACCGTAGGGTCCTGGGGGTGACGAAGTATCAATATCTCTGTATTGATTGATTATGCGTAAGGAGTAAAAGGGAGATTCCAACCGGAGGTTGAGTGGGTAGTCGAGGTCTAATTGTACTCCCTCGAGGTGGCCCATGCTCTGCCCTTACTCGCGGCCGAATTGGGCTTCCAATCCGACACTCTGTGCTGCCGTAAAGGGCCGCCGTCCACAGCGCGGACCAACCATCTTTATCAGAGACATTGGGATCAGCGTTCAGAGAGAGAAAGTACTTGACAATCTCGATGTTTCCAATGAAGATGGCTAGGTGTACTGGGGGCTGTTAGTTATGCATGCGTTCTAGATTAGGTAGGTGTCGGCCAACCTGGCGTCCGGTTCCAGCCTTCGCCTGGAACCTCTCTTTTCTCGACATCCGCGCCTTTTTCAACCAAAAGCTTCACTATATCCAGGCTCTCAGATTTTACTGCCTGAATGAGAGGAGACGAACATTCTTCCGGAGTGAAGTCTGGTAATGAACCGTGCTCTAGCAAAAGGCGACAAAGATCAAGTCTACCGATACGGACAGCAGCCATCAACACAGTCTCTTTCGATAGATCGCAGGTATTAGGATCAGCCCCATAAAGAGGCAAGACTTCGGTAGTCTTATAATGACCACGTGATACGGCGAAGTATAGCGGACTGTACGACAGAGCAGGTGTTGTTGTTGTTGTTCTATTTAACGCCATGGCGGCAAGGGCGCAGCCGCCCTTGCGGCAGACCTCCCGGAGGGTATGTGGCGTGAAGGGTCGCAGGCTCTAGCTATATACTATATAGTACACGCCGTATCCTGACGTCCTCCAAATCTTGCTCGTGAGCTACTATGTGTTCTATCCATCCCTAGTTCCCACTGGTGCCCTAGTTCTGTTATAACCCTCTGGTTTCTTAATAGAGGTAGTTTGTCGTTTGGAGGATAGGTTATGACCTATCTCCTAGTACCGCGGGCAGGTCTTCTGGAAGAAGTCTGTCACGCAGAGGAAGGCCTGGAAGCCTTCAGAGTCAGTGATTAGCCCCTTGAAGTAGCGATCGAGGGACCCTATAGGTCCTACGGGCTCCTGGCGGCTGTAGGGGTAGAGGGTGGGCCACTGTTGCCTCCTCAGTAGGGTCTTTCGGCAGTAGACTAGATGGTCTGCCTCCTTAACCCATCCACTGGAGCAGGTGAGTAGTGCTTCTGTGTGGTTAAAGCGTTGGTGATATTGTTTAAAGTCCCCGTGGCCTGACCGTGCCGCGAGGAGGTGATGAAGGGCAGCCCTAGGGAGGCCAAGTTCAGGAGGGCAAGCAAGAGTAGCCTTGAGCCCTAGTTGGGTATAGCGGGGAGTTGCTTCTTGTTTCCACCATCGTCTATATTGGCGTCTTGGCCGCTCTTTAGCAAGCCACTTGATACCTGATAGAGTAGCTAGTTGGCCCCTAAGGACTGGTAGAGTTGTTCCCTCCTTAGCTAGGCTGTCTGCTTCTTCGTTTCCTTTAACACCTTGGTGCCCAGGAGACCAATGGGTTTGTATATCGTGTATCCTAGCTACCTCCTGGATCTCAAGGAAGACAGAGCAGGTGGAGAACACTCTTCGAGCTTCCGATGTTGTAAAAGCACTTAAGTCGCGGCAAACCGTCCCCACACGCTAGCAAGGGTCAAAGGTAGCCAGCGATCTGAGGTGGTGGATATAGAGGCGCCACGATCAAGCAGAAGCTTCATCACTCTCGAGGTTCCGGGTATGGTTGCTTTATGTAGTGGTGTGTCCCCAAGCACCGTCCTCGATTCGATGCTCGCACCAGCAGCTAAAAGCTTTTCCACGGCTTCTAGATGATCGAAGGCGGCGGCAAGATGCAGGGGAAGAGTCCGTGAAGGACTCATGCTGTCCAACGAATCTGGGTTCGCTCCTAGTGACAGCAGCTCATGAATGACACCATCTAGTCCCAGCGCTGATGCTCTGCCGAGTGCGACTGCCAACCAATGGGCAGAGCATTTTGGCTCCGTAAGACTTGGAACATGATCGCATTGGTTGGCATCATTTGGGGTTCCGATGCGATTTTCTGTTGGGGCCTCGCCATCCACAGTTCCATGGTTAACAAAAGTCTCTGCGTAATCATGCGGATGCTCATTTTCGATCTCATGTTCATCAGATGCACCGCTGTGAACTCTTTCCTGCAAGTCTTGTTCGTGCCCCGCTGCCTGGCGAGGAGGCTTCCGTATGCTACGAACGAGCTCGTAGAAGAGGTCATGGTTCCCATGTAAAGACGAAGCTACAACCGCATCATGGAGATGCGGATTTTCGAAGTCTATAGCAGAGCCGTAAGATCTTAGAATGATCCTGAACGCAAAGAGCTCTCCTGGCTGACTCGATGAGCGCCTGACCCTGAGTCGCCGTGTTTTCGAGTTCCAAAGAACAGAGATGATCAACAATGTCGTCAAGTCCAAAATGCGCCGCAATTGGCAGAGGCTCATAGCTTGTTTCCAATGGTTTTTTAAAGGGAGTCGGCAGAATTGCGTGAGCTTCCATCCAGCGTCGTAACGCTGGAGGAGACTGGAGGACCCTCTCCAATACTTGCAAACTCCCGCGTGCCTTTGCCTCTGCAAATCTGTAATGCTGTCCAAAACTCGGTTACATATGGAAGCAAGGCTGTCCAGTCGTCTGGCGCGCCAGTGTCGTTATCGAGATGCGTTAAGCAGATCTCAAGAATGTCGAGATGTCGACAGCTTTCGGGTTTTGCTCGATACCACAGGTCGTTTGAACAAGACTCGGAAGATAGCCAGTCGCGGATCCCAGGATGGGTGAACTGGACTTCATCATGAACAACGGTAAGCATACCTCCAAAATACCGGAGAGCATGGCTGAGTGATTGCAGGGTGTTCAGGCTATCAAGATGGATGCGCTCGTGGGTCGGATTGTGGGTATCTAGTCACAAGTCTGACAAGTAGTGGATTTCAAAGGTTCTCAGAGGCCTGAAGGAGGAGAGCATCCAGGAGATCAGCTTTTCTGCCCATCGCTGGCGTTCTTCAGGTATCTCGGCTAAGATGATTTTGAAAATCGATTCAGGGCCGATTTCCTTGGAAACTCTTAGTAGCCGAATGGCAGCAGCCAGAGGCTTCCGATGAGATTTAAGCCACCCAATCAGTAAGAGAGAAAGCTCCTGGTCGTTTATAGTCTGGGAAAGGAGACCCGTGAAGACCTCTCGCAAACGCTCAATGCCCACTGTTGGTTTGCGTGTACCACAGGTTAGTCACACAGGTATTCCTGGTATCGCGATCGGTAGCAATATCGTTGGGTTAATCTGGTGTTCTTGTTGTTGTTCTTGTTAAGGAGAGTATCTAAACGCGAAGGCTCGTGATATGGAAGGAGGGAGCTGAGGTGTGTCACGTGCCGAAGACACGTGACATAGCTCGGCTCCGTGTATACCTAGCGATTGCCGTTTGTTCCCACAGCTCTATTTTCGATTGGTACCAGCCGGAACACCGACAACAAGTATATTGAAGTGTAGAATACGTTTGGCAACGTGGCCGAGACACTTAAATACCATGAAGGTGCCCGTATGAACCAACTTGAGGTCATCGCGGGTCTGGCGAGAATATTTCTTAGAAAGGGTGTGAGAGAGTAATTTCAGTTACATTCTTATATATCATGAAGCTAATCTTTAATAAATATATTCATAAATAAATATTGAAACCTCTACATTGTTTAAAAAAAAGGAAACTATGTATTTTAACATTGTTGTCTATACTAGACGTATTTACTAATAAGTACGTTTATAATATAAAGTAATAATATAAAACGAAACGTAGTCTCTGTGCGCTCGTTCGCTTCAACGTATTCGTGGACAGATACGTCGATAAGGCGGATGGGCATAGATAACCGTGGGAGCAAATATTTTCAGGAATCAGGATTCCCTTGGAAGTTGGCGGTGAACGCTGAGAGCAACTTACCATAACGACCAAGGCACCAAGATTTCGGAAGATCCGCAAGACGGATCGCAGTGCCAGCGCCTTTCATGCGAGGGGCCGGCAACGGGGCCTGGAACACATTGTGGCTGAAGACTTTTGGTCTCGTATCTCGGCGGGCGATGTTCATATCGACCTTTACGGTACGTTGATACTGTCTGTTGTTTGCTCCTTCTCTTTTCGGTTGATTTAAGCGATGAAACTTGTTTGTCTAGATCATTTTTCAAGCACGTTACGAGCCTGGTTATTTGCATCGAGGCTCAAGGTGGTTCTGCCAGGGGGGGTTACGGCTCACACAGCTCACCAAACCAGGCATCTGCTCTCGAATATTCCCCCGGTCTGACATCAAGTCTGATGGAAGAAAAGATGACCAGTGGAGTGAAGCTTACCTCGCCATAAATGATATGCATAGCTGTCACTGCGCAGAATTGGACGCCACGATGCATGGAAGCATCCTCGTTGAGAGATGGCGTGTTCTATCAGGGGGCGTTGATCGCCGTTGAGCTATGCTTCCATACCGTTCAGCACGTAGGTGGTCTTTTGAGTTTAGACGAAAGCCGAGATGATGTTTTTCTAACATGTGTGCGTCCCTTGATGTCCGACACCATTATCGAGGGGGCTGAAGACTATTGATAAGTCAACCCACTACATTGCATTTGGGTCAACGCCCTGGCAGATTTCAACAGTCGTGTGAGCTTGACAATCAAACCTAAAACAAATTCCGTCGATCCCGATCTTCCCTGGAAGGGTATTTATAAGTTGTCGTCCATATCTGCTCTGATAATGCCCTGTTTTCAAGGCTTCGGTCTGATATCCAGCCCCAGTATGACAACTTACATCTTTTTGGCCTCTCTTTGAAACTGTCAAGATGGCCGACGTGCCTGCCACTCAACCCCGAACCCGCTTGTGGGAACGAGCCATCGCCTTCGAAAGCCGTTGCCTCAAGAAGCTGACGGGACCCAAACAACAAACCGGAAAGGCCTATGTTCTCAGACTTTCCATCGACTTACTCCAAGAGATCATCGGCCATCTCGATCTTCTAAGCCAATTCATGTTCTCGCAGACCTGTCGTGCCGGCCGCATTCTCACACAAAAAGACTGGAAAGATGCCTCGCTAGCTCTCCCCGAGACTGAACGAATCTCGTTCTGGGCCGCGGTGGCATACAGACTGCCGAACCACTGGGCTTGCGCGCGCTGCTGCGGACTGCACGAAACGGACCGTTCAGACACGCCTTGGAGCCATCGATCACCGCCATGCCAGCAGGGAGAAGCCCTCGACACCCTAGGCCGATCCTACAAGCTCCGACACACCCACATCGAACTCGCGCTCAAGTTCAGGCGCATGGGCACCAACGCAGGCTACCTCTCTGAGCTCCTGGAACCTTGCGTATACATAGCAGACCGAGAAGGTCCATCTTGGAAATCGGGTTCACCAAATGTGACTCGCCATACACCGAGAATCATCAAAGACAAATTCTATTTACAAGTAGTCAAGGAGTTCCATGGAATAGCAACGCTCCACGAGATTCGCTCTTTCAGAATCTGCCGACACCAGCTGTTCCCGTGGTGGTACTGGGGCATCGTAGACTGGAGCGCGTTTGAGAAGACTGTCGAGGCGGCTTGGAATAATCCAGGAACTGTGCACGATGGGGATTGCCAATGTTGCCCTGTCGACTACTCGATCTTGCGCGAGGGAGACGACCTGCGCGTGACGTTGTGGTATGACTTTGGCACGGGAAAATCCCCGAGGGGCTTGGACTGGATGGTACACCTTGGCGACGAGAACGATATCTACAGCGACGGTCTTCACGTCAACAGCAAAGAGCATGAGCATGGAAGCATTCGAAAACTGTTTCAACAGAGCTCATTCGGTCACATGGTGCGAGGTTTGCTACGTGTTATGGTACGGAGCCCACGGCAGTTCTGCAAGACGGCACGCAAGGCCATAGTGGCACACAAGCTAGGACACGCTTGATGGAGTAATGGTTTTCCACATAAGAAGAGCTCCTTTTTGTACCGTTCACATCAACACCAGCGTCTACACTGGCTTCTCAATACATGTGTTGCTCGTTACTGGATTGTGCCGTGACCTTCGACGAAGCTCTCCTCCTTCGGCGCCGAAGTTGCGTTCGCAGACGCAGCCGCTCCCTGCTCAGACTTCTTGTATTACGGTCTGGGGAGGTTGTCGTAATACGGTACGACAATAATGTTGGGATCACTGCTTCCTCCGACCTGAACACCGTGTTAATCTCATATCCACCAATCCAGGAAATAAGACGAGACCAAACTCACCATGGCCTTTGTGGTATTCTGATACGGCACATCAGACACCTTCAAATTGAGCAACGAAGGCTGCTTCGCGCTCGTCAAGGTCCTCACCGCAACCTTGACAGACTCCAACGTCTTGGGTCCGTTGCTGGCGCCGTTCTCCTTGACGACGTCCACCACCGCCCCCTCGCACCCGAACCCTTGCGCGACGACCTCGTACTTTACCTTTGGGTTCATCGCCACGCACGGCCGTTGCGGCGTCTTCTCCCCGTAAATCATGTTCTGCCCGGCCTGTGACATGCCCCAGACGCTGTTGTTCACCACGACTGTGAGGATGTTGAGGCCGAACTTGGCGTAGGTGTCGAGCTCGCCGATGTGGAAGCCTGCGCTGCCGTCGCCGTGGAGGTTGACGACTAGCTTATCTGGCGCGGCGACGGCGGCACCTGTTGAGAGTTAGTGAGATGATTCTTTATGTTATGCTACACAGAGAGGTAAGATGGGCCACATACCAAGTGAGTATCCGAAGCCATTACCCAGGAAGCCAAGGTACCCAGTCGTCACCATTGACAGTCCCGCTCTCGCCTCGTTGAGAGACTGCAGGGCCCATCCACCGCACTCGCCGCCGTCCATGCAAAGGATACTGTCTTTGGGCAGGGCCTGGAAGAAGGCCTTCACGCCGTGATAGGGATGAATGCGGTCGTTCTCCTCGATGATCACCGGGTCGTCCTCGTTTCCAGCCGAGTGAACGCTTGGCTTCTTCAACGCCATGGCCTTATCCACCCACTCACTGCTCGCCTTGACGGATGACTTGGACGCCGCGGCCGCGAGAGCCTGAGCTGCGAGCCCGACATCCGACACGATGCCGACCTGTGTTTCGTCTACTTAGCATACTCTGTCCTCTTCCTGAAGCCGTATATTCGTCGGGCAAGTATCTTACATCGATCTTCCTCGAGCGCCCAATCTCGCTCCCATCCAAATCGACCTGCACAACCTTCGCTTCACTCTCATTCGGCACAATCGCACCGCTTCTACCGCCAATCAAGAAGCCAGTCCTGGCCCCTAGCAAGAGAACAAAATCCGGAGCCGGCCCCTGAGCGCGCAAGAACGGAAGCCGAGTGGCCACGCCGCCGAAAAGAGGATGCGAGCGCTTGATGCTCGTAGAAAACTTGGGCGAGTGGAAAATCGGAGTATTCGTCGCTTCAGCAAGCTTCACTACCTCGTCCGCAGCCCTCGCTGCACCAGTCGAGACCAAAATCACAGGTCGCTTTGCTTCTCCCCAAAGTCTCATCGCCTTCTCAACCGCTCCAGCATCAGGGGCAGGGAGTGATACCGGCGGCGCCGTGATGGATCCCCAAGCCACGCTGTCGATGTCTACCGGCGTGAAGAGCACATCGATGGGGAAATCAACGAGTACCGGCCCAGGCGCCCCCGCCGTCGTCGCCCGCCACGCCAAGCTCACAATGCGCGGGATCTCGCTGCCGTTGGTAACCCGGTGCGCAAACTTCGTCACGGGCTTCGCCAGAACAACCTGGTCGTGGAAGCCCTGGAGGGTATTCGTCTCCGCATCGCGCAGCGGCGGCGAGCTCGTGATGCAGAACACCGGCGAGCGGTCCGCGAAGGCGGTGCTGAGGCCGGGCAGGCCGTTGCAGAAGCCAGAGTTGGCCGTGATGAAGCATACGCCGGGGGCGTCGTTGCCCTTGACCTTGGCCCAGCCCTCGGCGGCCTGGACGGCGACGGTCTCGTGGCGGACGTCTATGAGCTTGATGTCGGCTTCGACGGCGGCGATGAGGAAGCTGTCCAGGTGCCCGCCTGTGAGTTGGTGTTAGTTCGAGAGAAGCGATATGATTCATGTTTAGAGGAACACACCATGGATACCGAACGCAGTTGTCGCGCCCAGATGAGCCAGAGACTGAGCGAGGAGGTCTCCGCCGAGAAGCTCTCGATTCTTGGGCTGTCTCACTTGGAAAGCCATTGCTTGGATGGATGCTTGAAACACTTGAGAGTCACTGCTCATAAATGATGAAAATGAGGCTCGAGCTGCCTTGTGGTGGGAGGTTGACTCTGTTAAGTCGGATCTCACCATTCAATTGCGATACCTTGCCTAAGTTGACCTCTGACCGACCACTTATAAGAAACTGACCTCCAAATGCCGAATGTCGACAGACGATTGTGCGGGGGACCGCGGGAAGAGCGGGAGGGGGGACGTTGCTTGGCCCCGAGGTAAGTTGTACGTACATGTATAAAACAATGTTGGTGGCAAATGGGAGGAGTTGTGTAAATGGTTACCCGTCGTCTCAAGGTAAGCCTTGTATTTTGTGAATGTTTTGCGACATTGACTCTGATGGGTTGAGTCAATAATTGGGGTAGCAACTGACATCAGATGCTTGGAGGTCGGATGAGATCCTTGCAGAGAGACGCCCTTACACGCACCAGGGGTAAAGGCTGCCTTTGCTGGCAGTCACCAACTGTCACTGTCACTAAATAGAGGAGTGTGTGTGTGTTATATTTAACGCCGTGGCGGCAAGGGCGCAGCCGCCCTTGCGGCCGACCTCCCGAAGGGTATATGGCGTGGAGAGCCGTCGCCCTATAACTATTGCTAGATACAGTTCAAATCGTCCTCCAAATCGTGCCTTATGGCTACTATGCGTTCTATCTGTCCCTGGTTCCCGCTGGTGCCCCAGTTCCATTCTTGAATTTTTGCGGCTTAAGGCCGGATATGTCTGGAGAGGGCGGCCTGCCGAAACAGGCCCCTCGTACATGTTCTGATTTTTACAAGACCATTCCTGCCCCAGTACTTGGTTGACGACGTGTACTCGCCGCATATCCATTTTTTCTTGGTCGGAGGGTGTGGATATGAGAAAACCCTGGCGAGGGCCCGGAAAGGGTCCTAGGCCCCGCATTGGGCTCTGCCCTACCCTTCCCACAGGTAGTTAAAGCAGTTGCCGGCGGCTGGAATCGAACCAGCGACCTCTGGGCTCCAGAGGCCTTGCCAGGTGTATGCCACTACACCACGCCGGCCACTAAATAGAGGACTCATTCACGTATATGTCGATGAGATTGCAGTTTCAGCTGTTTGAGACATCATTGGCTGACATAGGTCTTCAGTCACGAAAACGCATAGGCAAGGACAGTTGTAATTCATTTGACTGATTTGATTGGGACTATGAAATAGTCCTGCGAGAGCTCTAGTATGTAACCTCAACCTAAAACTAGAAAATTCTATGATGCCTATTACCCCTAAGGTACACAATGATGTTGAGAAAATGTATCTGATTAATGAAAGAAATTTGGCTATGCGACAGAGTCATTTATTGCCAAGCGAATGGCCCGCTGTCTATGCCACTGGGCTTACTGTCACGCCCGTGGCTCCAACGAAAGCTGTACGCTGGCTAGGCGTCTAGTTCGATCGTACGCTTTCCTTCCGAACCCACGTTGGCCACCAGGCCGCCGCCGCGACAAGCCCGACTCGCTACAACGGCCTATATACTACCGTCAGTTCTATATAGATCTGAAGTATAATTCTCGGGCCGTACCAAGCCGGCTACGCTCCCGCAACTCTCGAGGATATGCGCCACCCTCCGTAGCCCCTCCGTGAACACTAGCCAGAAGGGTCACTTTACTACCATTAATAAGACCATTATCGCTACTGCCCGGGCCGTACTCCCGGTCTGGCGTACTGCGCCCACTAACATCCTACTCAAGGAGTCAGGTCTTCCCACTACGGTCGCCGCGCTAGAAGGGGCCAGACTACGCTTTACCGCAAGGCTACGTCAACTTGACCCCCAACACCCGCTAATCCCCAGGCTGGAGAAACGCACCCCTGGACGCTTTAAACAAGACACACATCTCCAGCGAACCTACGCATTACTACCCCCATACCCTCGGCCGGTTCTAGTCCTCCCGAATCCCCCCGCACCCCAGCGAGACACCAAAGAAGAAGCCGCTGCTACATTTCTACAGATAATAAAAACACTCCCACGATCCGACCTAATGATCTACTCCGACGGGTCCATACTATTTAAAGGCGCTATAGGCTACGGATATATAATATACCGTAGGCCCAAGGCCATCACGGAAGGCCGCGGCCACCTCAGCAAATACACTAAAGTCTTCGATACCAAGGTTAAGGGGGCCCGTCTAGGCCTACGGCGAGCACTAAACCTAGCTACCACCTCCCCCACTACAATCCATCTTTACCTCAATAATACTAGCATTCTCAACTTCATCTTGGGTTTTAGACGATCTCCCGCCAGCTCGCAGGCTACTATACTTAAGATACTCAACGCCCAGCAAGCAAGGGATATAAAATACCACTAGTCGCCCGGACATACCGGGATCCCTAGAAACAAAGTAACTAATAAGCTCGCCAAAGAAGGAGCCGCTCTCCCACTACCTAACCCTCCACCGCTAGCATCATACGCTAAAATAGCAAAGATAGCCCGCGCCAGAGCCCGTAGCCACCATTCACAATAGTAACATACTTCAAAGCAAAAGCTCAAACCAGGCTATAAAAAAACTAACGCTACCCTCCATTACCCTCCAGAATTAGACCTACGGCGTCCTCTTTTACACCACCTCCTCGCTACTCATTCTAACCATGGCCATTTCCACGCCTACCACAGGCGCTTTCAGCACGACGGAGACTTCAAATATAACTACGGGCGGAAATTATCGCCTACCCATCCAATATATTACACAAAGAACCAC